TGCATGAAACATGGTATTTTTCAAACTAATGAGGTTTGTTTACTCACAGGCCTAAGGGCTCAGCAACATTAGAACTGAATTTCATGGAGTAACATGACCCTTCTAAAGCTAAAAGCTCACTATTTCACATTTCTGCTTAAAGTTCTTCAAAAGCTAAAGTCTCACTTCTTTGCAGAGCATGATCTGGCCCACGCATGCCACCTCCCTTTCCCTTCTTGCAGTTATATTAACTTTTTGTGGTTTTCTGGGATATGCCAAGATCCCTCACATCTTCTGTCTTTCTGCTGGTCTCCCTGAAATGCACCCAACCTTCTCACCCAGCAAATTCATGCGCATTCCTCAAGTATCATCAGCTCAAGAACTTGTTCTCTGCAAAACCAACCGTGACTTTCCCAGGCAGTCTCAAGGTGCCTCCTGCATTGCTAGAAGATGTTTGCTACAGAGCCTAGGAGCTCTGTGAGTCCTGGTTCCTTCACTTAGCAGCAATGACTTTGAGGTAGTTCTTTAATCTCTCTGTGCCTATTCCCTATCTATAACTAGTACTACTTTTAGAGCTAGTGTATGAATGACTTCAGTGAGTTAACACATAAAGCACTCCCAACGGTGACCGCCAGGAACCTGTTACATCTTTGGTGCTAGTTATGATATCTTATCTATAGCTCTTCTTGGATCACAGTGTAATTTCTGGCATAGGTTTTTCTCACAAGATTATAAACTATTTGAGGGCAGAGATCATATTTTTCCTTGGTGCATTCCCAGCTTAGAATAAGGCTTAGCATTCAGATAATTGGGGCTTAAAATTTGGAGGCTCCAAGGTGAAGAAGGGAATGTAGAGTGGTTCCTCTTTCTCCCAGAAAATGGCTAAAGACATAGCAGAGCCAGGAGAGGGATGAAAGGTGGGTCGGGAGGAGGAAGAAACAAATGTTAATTGACATGAGAGAGGGACACATTATTTATGCAGAATTATAACCTTAGTGCCTGATACAGTGCTCCAAATTGGTACTCAATGTATGTTGAATGAGGGAAAAATGGAGGTTATAAAATCAGAAGTGGAACAGAAATCAAAACATAATTTTCTTTTTAACATCCAAACATAAAAATCATAGGGGTATCACATGCCATTCATGTATATAAATTGCTCAAATGTAAAGAAAGGTTATGCTTGCAAACTAAGATGTCCAAGAAATCTCTTCTCAATATGCAAATCTTTTTTATTTGAAAACAAATAATGAGGCATGTTCTTTTACGTATCAATCACTCTTGTATCATCTGCTGCCTATCAGGGTCTAGGAGATATTTCACTGTTGTTGGAATATGCAGGTTTAATCTAAAGTATGAGAAAGCTATTTGTACAGAAAACATATTTAAGAAGTTTTACTTAATTCCACATTTCTTAAACTTTTACTCATGTACCCCACATCATAATCACACAAACAGCACATATTGGAAACTAGAGCTCAGAATACTAAGCATTCCAAAAAATAATACATCCTAAAAAATGATAAAATCAGGCCTGGTGAAATGCTTAGGATGCAAAGTCAGGATAATATTATAGAAGACATTTATGTTTTGCTTAATTGGTCTCTTAAAAAATGCAGATTTCTAGAAAAATAAGTTTTTAAATCTGTAAAGCTAATTTTTCATTTATTCTTTCTTGTGATTCAGAAGTACAAGATATGAAAAGTAGGTTACAATTCTGCCACAAAAGCTTCTAAAGTAGCAAACACAAGTTCTAATATGTATCAAAATAGCTGTATACATTTTATCAATTTAAAAATGTCTTTATAGTTGTCACATCAAACAAAGCAAGTGTAAAATATAATAGCTACTATCCCCTCCTTGAAATACCAAACCCACAGTACTGAGCTGTAATCTGAACAGCAAGATTTTAGTCCAAAATATGGAAGGTTATGAGTAGCAGATACTTTTTAAAGTTGACTAAGAACTAAAGGAAATTAGAAAGATACAAAGCATCTTATGGCAAAAATTATAAGTATTTAAAAGTGGTCTTAAGTGAGTGATACATGTTTAAATTACAACATGATATAATAAAATTAAATCTGTTGATATTATTCAGCAAGAAAAGAAAAAATACCATATTAGCTTCTTCTAGAAAGAAAAAGACACAATTTCTTGAATTGAAGCAACTATCACCAAAATGTTTTCATAAGCTAAATATTAGAAAGTCTCCCAAAGTTTCAACTTGCAAGTATCAATAATATGGTTTAAGAGATCTAGGTAAAAATTTATAATATAGAGAAAAGAGTAATTCCCAGGATTTTGTATATTTTCTTAAAAGAAATGAGGACTCTTTTCCATGTATGTTTTAATTATGAAGAGTACTTGAATAGTTTTTGGAGTTTCTATGGCTCAATGACATTAATTTTTAAATAAATATGCTTACAAATATATTATACTAAAATAGTATAACTAAACCAAAGTGCACACACTTTTGAACTGAAATTCATATAATAAGCTATTGTAGGTCATAGATGGAACCAGCATTTCAACAGAATTGTAACTGAACTTCTAGTGCCACAGGTTAAGATTTATCTACCTCTGGGTCCACTAGAACATGGTGAATTAAAGTGATCCTTAAAAACAAACAGAAAAATCCTGATAGTTCCCCTAAGAATCAGACTTAGGATTTTGTTTTCTTCCTCTGAGTATAAAAACAAATTGTATAAGAATTGAGCCAAAAAAGATCAAAACTTAGAATATTTTTTATGTTTTGGATAAAGTCAGACATTGTGTGATACTGCTTACACGTCTACAATCCCTTATCCAAAATCCATGGGCCGGATGTGTTTCAGAATTCATAATATTCTGGATTTTAAAAAGGTAATAGGGGCATATTTAGGATATTACACAACACCTCCACAGAGGCTGGGAAAATATCTATATTAAACCTACTGATATTTCTTCAGGTTAAATTAACAAACAGTCAATGTGACATGACAAAAAGTAAAATAATTTCACATCAATTTAAATGACGTATTGCTACCAAATGAAGTAAGTATGGCATCAAATGTAGAAAAAAACAACCAACTAACTTAGATGTCCAAGTTTTTTAGGTAAGGGACTGTGGGCCTCTAACATCTCTGACAAAGATGCTCCTGGCTTGACGTGAGCTCTACAAATCTGCTCTCATACTGGAGTTTAACCTGGGTCAGGGCAGGCAACCACCCTCTCCCCCAAATGCAAGGGGCTGTTGCTTGCATTTGTTTTGGCGCGGATTACCTGGAGGTGACAGTACTCTCCATGAGGGAAATTTGAAAAAAAAGTATGTTGAAATAACTATTGTTAAAGTTACTTTTATAAAGCCAGACACCATCTTGGAGTAGATTTTAATACAGACCAGTAGAAGGTGCCAACATTCAAGGAACATTTATGAGAAAAGAATAAAATTGAGAAATATCCAGACATTAATGTAATAGCTTTCTGCAAATTAGGAAAAGCCATTATTCCATTTAGTGGCTACAAAATGAAACTCAACATAGTTTGCAAACTTTGGCTATATGAGACTGAAAGATTCATGAAACTATTTTGGCATCAACTCAGCCCCATAAACTGTAATGAAGTCATTCCAAGCAATTTATATATTAAATAATAATTTCTTCTGTATTTATCAGCATTTAAAATATGCCATTCTCAGATCTTGATAAAAAGATACCACGGATTAAAGCCATTAAATAACTTGTTACTTAACAATTAAGTCATGAAGAGCTTCAAAAACTCCAGAGCAAAGGAGATTTGCAGTAATTTTTAGGTCTTCTATATTGTTACAGAGGTTTTTTTTTT